GTGAGACTTCTATTATTCTCCATAATCTTCTGTGGAATCTCCCATCTGAACTTGTGCACTTGTGCAGATGTTCCTGTACACAGTGCCAGCTACTTGGTTGTGCCGTTCAGTGTATTCTGTTCTTGCTGCATCTTACATCCTGCCACTGTGTGTTGGACTATCTCTGAGGCCTCTCTGCACAGTCTGCACCTTGGGCCCTATCTAGTGTGGTAGACCCCTGCTTCTATGGATCTGGTGCTTAGTGCCTGTTCTTGTACTGTTATGATCAATGTCTCAGTGCTGTTTTTTAGTTCAGCCCTTTCCACCCACTGGTAGGATTTCCCAGGGTCAGCTATCTATCAATGGTACATCACATGCAGGGTCTTGTCTTGCCATGGCACTTCCTCTGCTTGAACTTCCTCCCATTTCTGCTGCTGCCTCAGGCATTCTCTCAGCATCTCATCTTTGAGTGCAGTCTTACTGATGTACTCCTGGATGCTCTGGATTTCATCCAGGACAGTGGCTTTGACACAAATCAGACCCTGCCCGCCCTCTTTCCGGCTGGTGTCAGTCCCTGGCTGTTGGACTTAGGGTGGAAACCTCCATACATTGTGAGAAGCTTCTGGATCTTCACATTGGCAGCCTCCATGTCCTCCTTTGGCCAGCTCACTATAATGGCAGGATATCTGATGATTGGCAGGGCGGATGTGTTGATGGCATGGATCTTGTTCTTCCCATTGAGCTGGCTCTTCAGGACCTGTCTTATATTTTGGTGGTAGTTGGATGTAGCTGTCTTCCTTGCCTCCTCATTATTTTGGTGGTAGTTGGATGTAGCTGTCTTCCTTGCCTCCTCATTATTTTGGTGGTAGTTGGATGTAGCTCTCTTCCTTGCCTCCTCATCGTGGTTCCCATGTGACTGTGGAATACCAAGGTACTTGTAGCTGGTCTCTATGTCTGCTATGTGGCCCACTGGTAGTTCCACCCCATCAGTCTTAATTACCTTCCCTCTCTTTACTGCCATCTGGCCACACTTCTCCAGTCTGAATGACATCCCAATGTCCTCATTGTAGATCCGTGTCAGGTGGATCAGTGAGTTGATGTCTCATTCACTCTTAGCATACAGCTTGATGTCATTCATGTAGAGGAGGAGGCTGATGGTAGTTCACTCTTGAATTTGTATCTGTATCCAGTCCTTGTGATTTCTGGCTGAGGGGGTTCAAGCTTATGCAGAATAGCAGCAGGGACAGTGCATCGCCTTGGTACATGCTGCACTTGATAGCCACCTGTGCGAGCTGTCTTGAGTTGATTTCCAGTGTTGTCTTTCAAAGTCCCATTGAGTTCTTGAGGAAAGTCCTTAGTGTCCTGTTGACTTTGTATAGCGCCAAGCATTCACAGATACATGTATGTGGCATTGAGTTGTAGGCTTTCCTGTAGTCAATTCAGGCTGTGCTCAGATTGGTCTGTCTAGACCTTGAGTCTTGGGCAGCTGCTCTATCTATGAGCAACTGGTGTTTTGAGCCTCTGGTGTTGTTCCCATACGGCCCTATAGCTTGGCAGCTATAATGCCTGACAGAACTTTTCATGTGGTAGGGAGGCAGGTTATTGGCTGCTGGTTGGATGGTGCTTTTCCCTTGTGGGGGTCTTTCATGATCAGCACTATCTTTTCTTGTGTTACAGTATGGGTGGGAGCCTGCTACTAGCATCTGTGCTGCTAGGCGTTCATGCATTGATGTTAGTTTCTTTAGCCAGTAGGTGTGGATCATGTCCAGGCCAGATGCTGTCCAAGTCTTCATGTTCTTGACCCACTGTTGGATGTCTGCTATTATAATGATGACTGGTTCCTGTTCTGGGAGATTGCTGTGGTCTGCTGTCAGGTCCTGCAGCCACTTTGCACTGTTGTTATGTATCTTCTCTTTCTCCCATCTGTTCTTCCAGTACTGCTCAGTTTCTGCTGTTGGTGGCTCTGCTGTTACTATGTTGTTACACCACAGTTGGGAATATACCTTGAATGGTTCTTTGGAAAACAGGGCATTTATCTTCTTGGCCTCTGCATCTCTAGTGTACCTCCGTAGCCTGGTAGCCAGTGCTGTGAGACTTTGTTTAACAGTCTCTAGGGCTTCAGATGGAGTTGGGCCCTTGTATCTTTTTCCGTAGCTGAGTCTTATCCTTAATCTCCACACCCTTCTGTAGTTCCATCAGTTGATTAACATCTCTCTGAGTTGCCTTGATCTTAGCCTCCAACCTAATTTTCCAGGGATGGTATGTACTGCTGTTCTTGTTGATCATGTAGCCAAGCATCTCCAGGATTACAGCAGCTGTAGCATATACCAATTCATTGCTTTGAGTTACAGTGGTAGTAGGGATTGTTGTGAGGGCTGTATTGGCATCTTCTAGCATACTATCTGATGATACTTCTCCATTGAACCTTGGTAATCAGTCTCGAGGGTTGACTGTAGCTAGTTTATCCATGATCTTATGGCTCATATCAGCAACTGTGCTTTGTAATGGAGGGGGTGGCAGTGACTTTTCAGCTTCAGGTATTGGCTGCACATCCAGTTGTTCTTCCAGGTCTTCTTGAGTCTGGGATGTAATGTGTAGTTG